ATGTACACAACAACAACTAGGACGAGAATGTGACTTATACCGTATTTGCCGGCGTATAAGACACACTTTTTTCTTTGAAAATAGGGCTGAAAAACGGGGTGCGTCATATACGTTGATGCTTATTGCATGGATACCTCATTCGTGAATGGGCCAAAGCTTCATGTGATGCTGTGAAAAGAGAGACAGTGGTTAAATCATTTAAGAAGTGGGGCATTAGTATTGCACTGGATGGTATAAAGGACAATTTGTTGTATGAGGACTCAGATGCTGATTTAGAAGAGGTTTCAGGTGACTCTTCATTCAGCTCTGGAGTGGGTTTTGACGAAGATTAAAAGGTGTTCTTTCCCAGATAGATTGGGTACTTGAAGAAAGTATTACTGTGTATTTGTATTACTTTATTTCTAAAATACTGTAAATTCATTATAAAGTTTTAACCTTCAAAAATATGTATAAAAAAGGGGGTGCGTCTTATACGCTGGCAAATATGGTAAACTCATTCTTACTCTCAGGAGTTAAACGGTGTAATCAGCAGAGTACTAGGGTTCGGGGCTGAACCTCTGTCGAAACTGATAGTCAAATTTGCATTTATTCACCTAATCGCATGGTATTGGTATGAAACACTAAATTGTAAAATTAATTTACTATGAGAGTTCACTAGCATTATAATACTTTGCTACCTGGTTGGTCCGGGCCACAGGCCAACAAAATCCAGGTAGTGACGAATTATCGTTCAGTTTGGAATCCACTATAGAGGACTATTTACACCACGAGAGCGAGCATAGAAGAATGTGATAATTCATTGCACTGTCATCTACAAGAGGCCGTCAAACGATCTCGTTCTGTGGTATAAGCTGAAGTTTGAATTGGCATAGAGATAAACAGCCGTGTGATGTCCTGTGGTAGATGAGCCCATACTTGTTGGAAAGTATTTTCTAAATTTTGATAGCTGCCATTTCATCTGGTCTCGCATATGCTTGATAAGAGATTTATCCCATGCGGGTAGGGCATGGAAGTGTATGAACGTGATACAGGCAGTCCTGGACAATTCCACTGGTAATATGTCCGAGCATTTACCTACTGGAATATACCTGGAATCCGGGCCACGAGTGTGAGCACATACCACTGAGCCGTCAGTGATCTATATACCACTATTAGAGGGGTTGTCTTTAGAAACTATGGTTTCTCAAATCAATGCCTCTGATGGGAAACTTATGTCACGTGGTAGTGAGGTTGGGAATCGTACTGACCGACAGGGGACTTTTACACCGGAGTATAATGATCATATGTTCCCAAAACAAAGCGACACCCATCGTTAAATATCACATATCACTGTGGGGCTCTATTTTATATCTAGTCTGTGGTGCTTTATTTTATTTTGGGCTAGCACCACTACAAGTTGTTAAAAGCAGTTCTCTTAAGGGACAATCTAATTACAAAGTCTCTTTGAGAATGATTCGGGGGTGCACATTATATTATTATGACTAATTATGAATCTAGTTATGACTTTCATATTAAGGTAAACTTTTCAGGAGAGCCTGAAACCTCTAGACACCGCGTCCCCGGGTGGCGGGTAGGGGAATGCCTCCACAGCATTTCTAATGTGTGGTAGAAGCATGGGTAGAAGGGAAATAAAATACCTTTCGCAGATCAACAGGCAGAAGTCCAACTTCTCGAGGCAACGTCAATCCATTTTCCTGGTACCATCTAACTGACTTCATGGACAAACAAACAGCAAGCAATATTCAGATAAACTGAGCACAGAAGTCGACTTCGGTTTCATTTTAAATTATAGATCTGCTTTAAATGGTCATAATTTCATAAAGATCACTCATTTAAATTATCTTGAAAATTTTAATAGAAAAGGATTTTTTACACTACTGTTATATTGCAAATGAAAAATTTACAATTCAATCAGATCTTGATTTTCCACCTTGAATTTATTCAGCATATAATAATAAATGCAATTATTTAGTTTTTAATATTTTTATTCCCCTCGATCATTTGGACTGCTTTGCTAGGTATATTTAGCTATAACGAAATCGTTCAGTACTGTAATTTTAAAGCTTTCTTAATTTCACTTGGTAGTCAGTATTTCTATTAGGCTGCGGCCACATCCACGCTTTAGTTTTTTATTACTAAGTTTATGTACGGGAAGACATTGTTACTGTTCTTGGTTTTTCGTCTTTGCTGTAGGAATAAGTAAAGTATAAGTAACTTCTGGACTTTCATAATAAAGTAATACATAAAAGCATGTCACTTTAAAAAAATGTCAAGTAGAATAATATCTGATACGTCAATATAAATTGATTAAAACTGCGTATAATATCGCAAATTATAAACAGTTGTTCAATGTTTGCTTATGAAACAAAGTTTTATGGAAACTATTTGAATGTGTGATTTCATAAATAACAAACACTGAATAACGAATTTGTAAATATTTTTATGCGGTTGATTTGATTTAGTTTGTTTCAGAGAAATCTTTTTTGACTCTTGGAATCTCGCGCATCTTCTTGGATGAAAAACATTATCGGAATAGTGTAAAAAAATGTACTAACTTCAACTGGTGAGTCTCCTATCCCACAGAATTTATTCCCAGTATTGCGTCTACGTATGCGAAGCAGCTCAACGCAAATGGTGACAAAATTTGCGGCTAGAAACATTCTTTTCACATTAGTGCTGGCAGAAATGCGTTTGCCTATAGCACTGTATTGCGCTTCGCTAGATCTGATAAAGCCATAATGATCTGCAGCATGCGTAGTGAGTTAAAGAATAGAGAAGATGCACACGTACCACAGCTGCTGTTGTAGCTGAAAGCTTTTTATATTTGTGAGCTGGCGATTTCATAAGCTGGATTAATGAAGTATATCATTAGCCGAATACTTTGTTGAGAAACTGGTTTTTTAATTACATTACAATGCATTGCATTACATGACGTCGCTCACCAGTAGCCGAGCAGTCACTGGGTTGGAATGCCCGCGAGTTTCCGTTGTTTTCCCCACATGCAAACATAAGAGTCAGTTTCTCTTAGAAAATCCTCTATCCATCTTAAGAAAACAGCCCTTGTAATGTTTTGCCATAATCAAATAAGCGAAACCAATCCATTACATTACACTATTAATTGGACGGCCAGCGAATTTTACTACCTGCCAAATCACGGCGACAGGTTGTGCTAACAAATCTGACTGCACCTGCTTATGATATAAATCGTTTTATGAATGACCTCCAGAAAACTGCACTCCACGTGAACTAGTGCTAATCTAATTGAGTTATATTAGTACTAAACAATTCCGTTTGCTTCAAATTTAAGAATAACAACGGGTGGATACATAGAGAAGCAGATCAGAGATCTAAAAATACCTCTTGTTTATAGGCTTCGGAAACTGGAATATAATATTGCAAGGTCATTTTACAACTTCTAACGAGTCAGTGGAGCAAGTGTGTCTGCACAAGTTATCGGAGCTTTCTTCGATGACTAAGCAATATGATAAGCATAAGGTGATCAAAATACTACCGCTAAAAATGAAGAATTGAAATGATCCGTAATGAAACTGTTTACTTTAAAAATCGTGAGATAAATTGAAAGATAGAGAACTTTTCAAGATTTAGAGATGACACATAGTAATTCAGCGTTAAGACTTTACGAAGAAGGCTTATTATTAGAATCGAAACTTCTCTTATTCAAATTGATGACAAAAGCGCAATTTGCTAGTTTTCAATAAAATTATTAATGTTAATAAATCGTTCATTCAAAATCTTATAGTTTCACGCTTTTTTATAACCTAAACTGAGAGAGAACTCTAGCAGAGACTTAAAAAGGGTGTAAAGGGCCCTTTTATTAACTCAGATAATTTAATAGAAGGCACATTTTGTGATTACAGAACCAGCCAGCATTTATGGTATAAATCAAAAGTAACAAACTGAACTTAACTAAGTAAACTGTTAGTCCAACGGCTACACAGAGATAAATGCGCGTAAGTTGGGTCAAACCTAAAATCGGCGTGACAAGCCTAAAGGCTAGAATAACGCAACGATGCAGATAAACTGCTTTCAAGAGAATCAGTTAGTAACGTGGCCTTCAGCAGAGGGAACAAACTATGATTCTACAATCTTAAAACCTTCTTTTAAATACTATCTCTTTCTACTTCATTTGAATACACGCGAACTAGAAATTAGCATTCTGGCGAGAAAGACAGAAAAGCTGATTAATATAAAATAACCGGTTAGTAAATAAAAATGAGCTCTCTGCAGTCTCTTGTATTATATGGCAACAGGTTAAAATATAAATACGCCATTTTTTATTTGTCTGCATGCTATAGAATCGCTGCCTTACCTTTCATTCCTTCTTGATTGCACAGGGAAACATACGCGTGTAGCAGATATATTGCATTTTCTCCACTTGGAAATTGCAAAGAATTTAATCTGTATCAAGAAATAGATTCATCCAGTTATGTTCTGATATCACTTGAGCACCACACGATGAATCTCAATTGTATTTTTGTCTAAGGCTGGCAATGTTTGGAAAATGGCATTTACAGAATAGCAAGCCATTCGAAAATTTTCGATTGACATCAATGCTTCTATTATTTATAGTAAAGCGGAAGAACGTAACACCCAAAACACTGATATGAATTGAGAAGAAAATTTCTTGCTGGAATCATGAGCCCGGAAAATAGCCTCCACTGAAAAACAATATCTCAAAACGCATGTCAGTGTGTGCTGATATAGGACTTCTACGCAACTGTGCCTACTGATCACCATTTCGCTTCACAGATGAAACGGTCGGCTGCGTCATAATTGCTGTTTAGAAAAATCCCCATTTCCTTACTTAAATCTTAATGACTGTAAACTAGTCTTTATTTTATTTATTTATTTATTGGTCCGAGCTGTACAACAATCGAGTATCAGCTATAATGAGTAGACTAATTCTCTAAGTAAGTTATAAAAAATTTCGAATTTGCAAGATCATAACAGAAGTGTTTTATGACATTAAAAAGACGATATGACATTAAAATATGTTTTATAACATTAAAGCAGTTTTGCCTCCCCCATCAGTAAGTTAACTGCGTTTGTTTTAATTCTTGTATAATAATATACATTTTGCCATGCAAAATGATTACATTCAACTAAATATTCATTTACATTTCTTTTCAGGTATTTTTCTGATTCTTATTAAGCGTGCGAAAAGTAATTGTCCAAATAAATATCATTGTCTATCATCTGAAATCGTTCTGTGTTTTCTGGAGATATGTTCCGATCACTACTTTCCAAATAAATTGAATTGTTTATTAATTCTGGGAAAATAATTTCTTTGGTTGGTTCTAATTCAGTTTGGCATTCTTCACTCGATGTTGGTCTCAAGCAACTGGATGTTGAAGGGTGGCTGAAAAGTTTGTAAAAAGCTGCGAAATTATCGTCACTCTTATGCTGCACTTTGTCATTAAACGTAGAAGTGCAGTCGGGTAAACTCATTTTTCGCCGAAATTTTCCTGTGCCAGCTTGAAACCACGCCTCTGTAAAAGAGTTAGATACGTTGCTGGTACCAGATGGTGGTCGCCGGGAATCTACAGGCTCAGCATATATATGAGCTGTGTATATGTCATCTTTATTACCCATTGAGTACGTGGATATCTTTTTCATCGGATGTTGTGCTGTAGTCGTTTCAAATGGTTGAGCATAAACGGGGTCTGCATCTAATGGTAAATGAGGCAAAGCAGAGCGTGGCTTTCGTGGTGCTGTTTTATGATCTTTGTGGCGTAGCTCAATCACTTCTGTATAAGTATCCAATGTACAGTTGGTACTTTCTTGTGGTTTGTGCTTTTTTATTCCACTTCTATAACTTAAAGAATCTACTTCCCCTAGATGAAATACAGTTGTATTCGACCTTGATTGACGCCTAAAAGAATAAATTATTATTTGTCATATGCTTACTGCCATGGAGTTAACTAACTAAACAATTTTCAAGTTTTAAAAGCTAACTTCATTTAAAAAAGAATTTACATTCGAGGATTCGTGTTTATTTATTAATAACAGGATATAAATAAAATCCAAAGTCATTTAGTATCTAAAAGTGTAAGTAAAACCAGTGTTTGGACTGAAATACAGTATCGACTAATACTGATTCAGTACGGAGCGGTTTTCTGACCCAAAAGAGAAATAAATTTTAAGATGTTTCATTGTGGCCATTTATACTTGATCATTTAATATGCGTCAATTTATACATTGATTCATTTTTATCAAACTGATTTATTATCGGCATTATTGAATTATTATAGTTACCCATAATAAATAAGTTCACTGATTTTGAACTATCCAGTGATTTCTTTATACTGAATATGTTACAATTATCAAAGTGGATGACAATACTGAGTGCTGGTAAAATTTTTTGCGATTTCATTTTAGTAATAATTTTGAACACAGAAAATTGTTTCTTGCATTTATTAGGTAATAATAAGCAGTATAGGTTTATTCCGTGTTCTGTCTAGTAAAACGTTCTGAGGCGGCCGCTGCACATTACTTCTAAATGATGAACGACCGGAAAAAAAAAAAAAAAAAAAAGCGGAAATCCAAAAGGAGCTTATCCTCCCCCCCAGACATTGTCTTTTGTATGAATACGATCTTGGTCACAGAGCGACAGAAAAACATTAAAGAATATATGGAGCAATAATGTTGTATCAGAATTGAAAATACTTCTAATATTTATTTTGGCCAGTACTGATAATATTGGTATATGTCACTATTGGTTTTGGAATTTCTGTAATCGTGAGAGAAGCTCAAAAATTAACCAAAATCAGGAAGATATCACGAGTTGAAAGGCAAGAATCTGTTGGAAGTCATTGATAGCGACGATACAATTCCTGTGGTAAAACTAACAAAGAAATTTGAGGTTCAAAGCATGGCAGTGGAGTGGCGAATTTACGCCTAATGATTCATTGTGAAATGGGTCATCTTGGTACCACATGGATTACTGAGAAGAGACAGGTAGAGAAAGCGAATTACTATGTTTCAAACCTTCTGCACCAAATACAGCTAGTTTTTATTTTAAATGATAAATGACGTAAGATATAAATTCTGTACAATAATTTCGAACGAAATAGAGTTATTTGTAGGCCAGGAAAATCTCCAGAATCACTCTAAAGCAAGTGTTCTAACCACAAACCTTTCTGTTAAGTGTCAAGTGAGATTTCAACGGCGTAACCTGTAGATAACTGCTGCCATCGAGCTAACATTGAATGGACAGGTGAATCAGCACTTGGCCTGTCTTCGCAGTACCTTTACAGAAAAGCATTCAGAAGAAAGGTGTGGAACATCATCCGGAAAATATGGGAAAGATTCCCTCTAAGTTTCTCTGATTCCGAACAGATACATGGATTCTGCGTCAACGAGATGAAACACCACTTCCTGTGTTTCTTGAAACGCAGGGAGTGGTGTTTCATCTCGTTGGCGCAAAATCCATGTATCTGTTGGGAATCAGAGAAACTTAGGGGACATTTTCCCCATATTCGCCGGATGAAGTTCTAATAAATTATCAGCTCTTTCTACATAATATTATTCAGGGATAGGAATAAGATAAATTAGAGTATCTTCTCAGTTGTCTGCGAAATTTTACTGACAGAAGAAGAGAGGAATTCTACTTGAGGGTAAGTAGAAACTACACAATAAATAACAGCGAGTTACAAACGATAACGGAGAATATATTATAAACTGAAAACCAATACTTCTGTTTCTACAGCAAAAAGGAATTCATCTAGTGAAAACCACGAAACATTTTGCTCACATGCAATGGATTTTCGAGAGCTCACACACTATACTCAAAGTAAAGTTAAACTGAATGCAGAGGGGGAAGGTACAATTTGCATTCATCCGCCATATGACGCATTCCATAAATTTATTTTTTCAGTTACTGGAAATTGTCTAAAGAATTATTGTTAGATGAAAACAATAAATAGACAGATAATATTAATACTTATTCTCATTTATAGAGTATAATTAACTCTTAATCTGACATAAGCCGAAATTTGTCAGTGAAATTATTTTAACTGGCTAATTCTTTATAGCAAACCATGCATTTTTCATTATTCGGCACGAATTTGAATCTTAATCTTCAGAATTTCTTATTAATAAAGAATTGTCAACTTGAAATATATTAATAAATTAATTAAACATTATTTATTTCTAAACTGATTTTCCCTTTCCCTATTCCAATTTATGTATCAACATGACCCCATTTCAGGCTGTTTCGTTTAGAGTTTCTTTTCAAGAACGAATTCAGCGTATTAGCTTATGAGAAAATGCACTCAAACGTATCCTGATCATTAACCGGGATATTAGTATATAATGAAATAAATTTTACATGTTATTACATGACACTTTTTGACTCTAAATGTTACAGTTACTGCGAAAAGGTGTGGATATTTTGAACAGAAGTTTCTTTGACCGAAGTTTAGAAAGAATTGGAGTATTTTCAGACCATTTAAAATTTGACCGAAGACTGATAGATCTTTCATGCGTAAATGCAGTGCAGAAGCGGAGTATACACTAATGATATTTTCTGGAAATCAATTTAATTGTAATATTTTTAATTTGGGAAACAAAAGAAAGTTAATTTTAGGAAAACATAAATGCTCAACTTTTACGTAGGCAAACTTTAAGGATACATGGAAATTACTCTGAATATTAAAAGCAGAATCTTCGTAGTTGCGCCTTTTGGCTGATATTCTTTCCTAATATTTCGCTGCGTTTGCGCCCACTTCTCCAAAGCTAAAAATAGATACTTTGGCAAGCAATCCAAAAAATTAAAATAATATAAGAGCTCAATGTGTTCTGCAGTCTTAAACAGCTGATTTCAAGACTGTATTCAATGAAGCAAGTGCTATATAATAATCATTATAATACAAATTTAAAATATAATACGGTTCTAAGGGTAATACGGTGTGAATAACTTTTTGCCACCACCAACTTTACTGTAATCTATAATGCATTTTTTGTATTTATAAGGTTATGTTGGCTAATCTTTGGAATATGGTAACAGGTAGTTTGGCGACATTTTGGTAAGGCGATAAAGGTTACTAGCTAGGACTTTAGCAGTGTACATGGAAAAAGTCAAGAGTGTGCGCAATGCCATTTTTGTGCAATTCTGAGATGTTTTTATAAGTGAAAATAGGTCGACGTGTACATGAATACCGTGTATGTGCAGTTCTTAAAAACGCGGCAAGCAGTGGGCGATTCTGCACATTCTCCCAATTTCGCACCTAATCTTCGTCATGATTAAGTTCTTTTGTTCCATAAAAGTTCTAGCATAAGCGTAATTCGGCTAGCAGATCGTTGGAAAAAATGTTGATTAAAAAAAAATGCCTTTTTTCGTGAAAACAAAATGGCGTCCAAAAACAAACTAGCAGGTTGCTGTAGCAGGGTTGGTCTCCAAAAATTGCCAAGTTACCATAATCAAGATTAACCGTTATGTTAATATTCAATGTACGTGGATTTATATGATGATAATTCAAATTTGATGATAACTGCAAATTATTCAAAATGTTTTTCTTCGTTATTTTAATTTTATTTGAGGTTTATAGCCTATAAATGCTGAGGATCCGTTGTAAATTCTTGTAGCTCATATTCTGCTTTGGATTAGAAAGAATCAAAATTATTTTCGAGCTCATATTAATGGCAATGGTTGATTATACTTAATATAATAAAAGTACTGAAGAGTCATTTTGCTAACTTTATTTCAAATAAGTCAGAATAAATGAGGAAAATAATGCAATGAAAATGCAATTTTAGTGATTAATATTGTCCAAATTAAACTTTGACGCAAGTCTGATTTGATGTCGTACTAAGCCTAGTAACCGAAGCTACCACTAATCTAGTCCATCTTTTGATCTGGCACTACTTTAAACTACTAACTTACGTAGTTTCTGACGAGTATCATGAAGAAGATCTGTTTAAGCATTTCAAAGTATTAACTTGTAACAAATAAAAATGAGAAAATTAATCGAACGTTTGATTAGTAAATTACAGCAAAGTATTGGAATTTTAAATTTTGTATATATATATATATGTTGTTAATTAGAATTAACTATGTTGATCGGCATTGTAGATCAGAAATGTTTGATTTCATTCCAGTTTAAACTCATGTTTTGTAAATATTTAGATTCAAGTTAAAAATGTTAAGTATAACATATTTTCATATTTAATAAACGGTTAGTTTTTTTTTTTATTTTTATTTTCTAAATCAACATTTAAATGTTTACTAAATTTTGACATTTATGGCAATTATCATAAATGTGTTAAAAAACAGTCCACCTTTAAAAAATATTTAGACTTTGATAAAGAAATTCAGAATGTCTATACCTTTTTATTAGAACCTGGAGACTTACAGCGAGGCAGAGAACGCAGATGGCTGTTGCCGCTCCTGCAGCGATAGCCGTAACTATTAAAAATATTATTTGAGTGTAGTTAAATCCTATAAACAGTAATAATATAGAAACAAAAATTTGTTAAAAATACTTACCCAGAATTAAAGTTGGTGACCAGTTATCATCTAGAGCGCCAGCTACTGGAGCTTCTAAACGAAATAAATACTTGTTTGTTAAAGTCAAAACTTTAAATATAAAATACGGATAAAATCTATTGCAAATTAATTATACAATCAATACAAAAAGTCTGCCTTAATTTGCGATTGAGAAAAATTATGCTTTGTAAATCGACAGTATAACATCTGTAAATACTAGAATGAATTGCTTGTTAGACTATCGTACCCGAAGAATATAACAATGAAACACAAATTAAATACACTGCGGTATATTTTCTGAAATTCCTCGAATTATGTTCCGCAAATTAAGACATCCTATGGGCTAAAGAGAAACAAAAGATTACCTATGAATATAAAGTAGAAAACTCTAGTTAATGTGTTACGGAACGTGAATAGAAATGACAACATTATATGGAAGCTAGAATTTGCTGCCTGACTCAGCAGAAAAGTTTGAGGAGTGGTAGAAGGGTCTATATCGCTTTAGATTCCAACAAATGCAAGTCAAGGCTTCAGTGTGAAAATGCGCGACGTAACATTAGAACTATCGCCTACTAGAGAAATGGATGTAATAGTGCTTGTTATGAGTGCTCTGCAGAATAACTTTCGTATAGTTGAGATTTTTAAGATGCAGAATAGCATTCTTAAGAAGCGGGTGGAAGCATCATTTGAGGGTTGCATGATATTTTAGATGGGAAATTCGCAAACATAATTTAATTTACGAGCAAGCGAATGGTAATTCCAAAGCAGCAAAACTTTTGCACTGTAGATCATATCCTTACAATCCAACAATGGCTGATAAAGCCATGCTCCAAGATATCCACTCCTGGATACGTGAGATGGGCTCCTTCGTAACTTTTGAGCAAAAGCTGCTGTTAAAAGAAAGAAAAATCAACGCACATCTTCTAAGACACGCATCAGACAGATAGTGATTGATACCATTTCATGGTAAAGGCTAGAGTGCCGCATGGGAGTTATACCGGATAGTGGAGCGGTGCATTTATTTCGCTCTGCAGCTAATCCTAAGCTGCGAAGTTAAGCTGTTTACTAGTATTAAAAATGTCATTCTATTATGGCTGCTAGCCTTCTGTTCCAGAAAACCCAGTACTGCTTTACTGAAGGATACACAAAGCTTCGGACCGCCTTCTTTTTTTAAGGAAGTGGCAAACCAGCTGCCTTTCTTTGAGCCAATATTTATTTAATCTGGGAATCGGTTCACCCGACCTGCGACTATGCCTAATGTATGTTCTAAAATACTGTGGTACTGTAATCTTAGGGTTATACTGTCGGATGCTTTCGTATTTAAGAATTCCTTAGCTGTCGAAGAAACCTCACAAAGCGCAAAATGTTGTCACAGTCAGCTCGAAGATCTTTAACCCTCTTGGCTTGCCATCACTAGCTACAACAGTGGTGAAGATCATGTGAATTTCTAATGCCGAATGGGATGATCCAAACCCTTATAGTATTGTTAGACAGTGGATTAAGTTTCAAATGAGTTTTCATGAGTTCTTTTAAATGAGATTCGGTTTTAAAAAAATTAATTTTTTTCATACTTTTACGTAACATACCTTCCGGCTGTAGAGTCCATTAAAATTCCTAGGTATATTCATGCAGAGAAAATGCAATTATACGCACTTTCGAATGCTGCAGAACTTGCACATGAAGTAGTGATTTATTCACGGCAAGAACTTGAAGGTGAGTGTAAAGTAAATATTCTAGCCTGAAACCCAGGGTTGATCCTTTTAAGCCCTTAGCTTTTCCTAGACTGGCACTGAGTCATTTAATAGCAAAGACTTTTAGTTGTATGGCGAAATAGCTGAATAATTGCAAATTTAAAATCTTTGCATGGACCGATTCTAAGTTTGTATTAATATGATTATCATCACCTCCTCGTAGATGGAAAAATTTCATTGCTAACCGAATATAGAAAACCTTAGAGTGTTTGCAGAGATTTCATTGGAATTATGTTCCATCGCAATTTAATCCGGAAGATCCTGCTTCTAGAGGAGTTTTCTCAGAATAGCTCTAAATAAATCAACTGTGATGACAGGACCCTAGTTGGCTGAAAGAAGCCACTTCGGCTTGGTCGAGTTCTGAACTACCAAACGTCATTGAGAACTAAGGAACTACCCATAATAGCTCTTAATAAATCGGCAGTAATGACAGAACCTTAGTTAGCTGAAAGAAGCCCATTCGGCTTGGCAGAGTTCTGAACTACCCAACGTCATTTAGGATCAAGGTGCTTTGACTGAAGAAAATATTAACACTATAATTTCGTTTCATACTGGCTTGGAAAATGAAACTTCGCGTACTTTTACAGAACATACCTTCTTTATCGAAAATGTTTCGAATTCTACGCTGTTGCAAAAGATTTGTTACAATTTCAAGGTATAGGGTGGCCCAGAAGTCACTTTACATTTTGAAAATTAAATAACTTTTTTTTCTATTAATATATTTCTTTTTCTCTTTTCAGAATTAAAAAATATAATCCCTGGAAATTTTTGGCATGGATAAGTTTACAACAGAACAACGAGTGAAGATAATTGAATTTTACTTTGAAAATGGACGGTCAATTGTTGCAACGCATATATGCGCCATTTTAATGTTCGACATCCCCCTAGTAGGCCTGCAATAAGGAACTTAGTGACGCGTTTTCAAGGTTCAATTAGTGCAATCTTTAAAACCAGCAGACTTTCAGAAACGAGTAAATTATGCTGTCAGGTTTCAGAGAACTGCAAGAAATGACAATGAGTTTATTCACAAGTTGATCATGGGAGATGAAGCTCATTTCCATTTGAATGGACATGTGAATAAGCAAAAAATAAAAAAGAATTAATTAAATACAGTCATTTAAGAAAAAGTTATTTAATTTTCAAAATGTAAAGTGACTTCTGGGCCACCCTATACAAAACTGTTTTTCAAGTTTTACACCTTTGAGTGAAATTCCACCTATAATTGCTTTAGAATACAAAAAAAAAAAGTATTAAGGCTAATAACATCATGGGTACAACAATCAAAGATGACAGACATTTATTAAATTCCAAGAATACTTTGACAAATGGTGCATTGGTGGCATTGATTCAGCATTCGACTCTCAGTTATAATGCTAAGCATCAATTAATTAATCTATTTTCTAGCCGACTGAATGAAATTTTGATTAAGCAATATCATATTACATACTTACATGCAGGACCTACAATGTTAGATGACATTTTAAGATATTAATTATTAATCTCAAATTATTAAGCTCATTAAACGTTTTATAGCAAAATGAATAGTTGTACCAGATATAAAGCAAATACTTCTCTTAAAGTAAATGGGTAACTTGCCAGAATCTGCACCACAATTAGGAAAGCCATTGTTTAATTGTGGTATATGCAGGTCGACTATGGAGGACCGATAAAATCTGAAATCTAGCAAAGGACATGGTGCATGGACTACTGACGTTTATGTTGCATTATTCTTTTGCATAGCTAAAAATGCTATTCACCTGGAAGCTGTTTTAGATTTAAGAACGGATTCCTTTATTGCTGCATTAAAGAGGTTTGGTACGCGTAAAGGTGTACCGCAACGCATTTTCAGTGATAATGCGACTAATTTTATTAGCGGGAAAAGAAAATTATGTGAAGTGGAAGTAGCTTTAAAGGAATTAAGTAAGTGAGAAGAATTCAATGTTTTTGGTCTCTTTTTTTCCATTCAGTGTCATATGATTCCTCCTGCCTCTCCACATTTCGATGATACATTGGTGTGCAAAAATTAAGGACGAAGTCGAAAAATTAGCATATCAGCTGAACAAAGAGGCAGAGCGGACAGAAAGGCCAATCAGGAGATTAAGTAAGGTGATGTACGGTAGCACATGCGCAGATATGCAGGTAGACGTAATGGGGGAGTGTCTGAGTAGTATAAAGCATGTTGTCGGTGTAAGATCAGTATTTCTGGCAAAGAGATTGCACGCCGTATAGCAGTTAAAATCACACCGAGTTGCTGCCTCAGCGAGAAATGGCGAATAATCAATCTGTTAGACGACATCTGGATGCTTTTACCCGAGGTCGAATCATTGGGAAGTTGGAGGAAGGCCGCAGTGTGACAAGTGTGGCTGCAGAGTTCGGAATTGCTCACAGCATCGTTTCACGACTTTGGAGACAATTTCAAACTACAGGAACAGCTATCCGGGGGTTTTAGTAGTGGTCGTCCACGAGGAACCACACCCGCAGATGACCGGTATATTGCCTTACAGGCCAGAAGAAACAGGCGGCAGACAGCGGGAGAAATCGCTAGACACACGACACAGGCGACTGGACGACCGATATCGCGTTTTACCGTGGCCAGAAGACTGCACGGTGGTGGTCTGTTTGCACGACGCCCTGTACGGTGTGTACCTCTAACGCCTGCCCATCGGAGAAGGCGTTCTCTGTGGTGCCGGGAACACCGGAATTGGAGAGACAATGAATGGGGACGAGTACTCTTTACAGATGAGAGCAGATTCAGTCTGAGTAGCGATTCTCATCGCATACTCATCTGGAGAGAGCGGGGAAGCCGCAATCATCCCTCGAACATCATTGAAAGGGACAGGTATGGAGGTGGCGGTGTTCTCGTTTGGGGAGGCATCATGCTTGGTAGTCGTACAGACCTTCACATCTTCGACGCAGGTTCAGTCAACGGGACCCGTTATTGTAACGAGATTCTTCTTCCATATGTGCGTCTTTTTAGAGGCGCTATGGGTCCGCAGTTCCTTTTCATGGACGACAATGCACCATGTCATCGCACAGTAGCTGCCGAACAGCTCTTAGAGAGTGAGGATATTGAACGTATGGATTGGCCGGCACGATCTCCGGATCTCAATCCCATCGAGCATGTATGGGATTTTCTAGGCAGACGCTTGGCAGCTCGTACCTTACCACCAGTAACGATTCCGGAGCTTCGATTGGCGCTGCAAGACGAATGGGCAGCAATGCCTCAACAACTCATTGACACCCTCATTCTCAGCATGGGCAGACGCTGTGAAACCTGCCTAGCAGTCAGGGGAGATCATATCCCCTATTAAAGACCGGATGTTTCTTGCTGGACACCCATCACAGGGATGTTTCGGCCTTCAGTCGCATTGCGCTCCATGCTACTTTTTCAATAAAGCTTCTTTTTATCCCTCTGATTTCTCTTTTAGTAAGTGTTGCTTACATTACTCATGTCCTTACGTATTGGGGATCTTACGGTATTAAATGTGTTGATTTGGAAAGCTTTTGTACAAAGTTATATTGAAAAAACCGTCTCGTCCTTAATTTTTGCACATCAGTGTATATAGGAAAGCAAAAGCAAATCTGTAAAGTTTCATATAAGAAGAATTATAGGACAGACTGTACTTATATTGGAAGAATTGGTTCTTTACCTCGGGAAATAGAAGCTATTATAAATTCTACGCCCCTTATTCCCATTACTTCAGATGTATCAAGTTTAGATGTACTAACTCCTTCTGATTTCCTTATAGGAGAAACTATACAAGTGTTCCAAATACAACTGTACTATCCTTCAGGATGTTCTTTAACGTCGGAATAATCTACAACAAATAAAGCAGGGATTTTGGAAAAGAATGCGCAGTGAAAACTTACATACCTTCTGTTAGAACCCAGCCTCAGTTGTTATTTTTCTTTTCATAGTTTATCACTGTAAGAGTGGCAAACATCTGATCTTTGTTGTAGTTTCTTGTAGTTCTATGGATTTTGAAAATAAATATGACGCTGTAGAATTTTATATGTAAAGTTATTTTATTTTGAGTTTATTAGGAGAAAGGAGAACGGTTAGTTCTTGCAAATCTCGGAACAATTTTGGTGACGACGGAAGTGATCGGTAAAACAAGTCAAGGTAATTTTGTTAGTTTTATCGAATTTAATTCTATTTGACTTTATTGAATTTATTTTATTGAAATGGAATCGTTAATTGAGAAACGAAAACCTGTCAGAGCGTCTATTACGAGAACAATAATTAATGCAATTTTGCAAGAATTAGAAAAGGAAATTCCTGATGCAAAATCTGTAAAAACGAAACTTGTTATTTTAGAATGTTTATCTGTTGAACTTAATGCATTATATACTCAAATATTAAATTCAGAATGTTCCTCAAATGATAAGTTTGAAAGTGAATGGGCGAAAATTGAAGAATACAAAGAAAAATTAGATTTAATACGAGTAGAAACGGAATTATTCTTCAATCGCCAAACGACACTATCCATAGGCAGTGTTCCGCCGAATTCGAACAAAAGGAAACTGAAATTACCTAAAATTGAGTTAAAGCAATTCGGTGGCGAAATTAAAGATTGGTTACCGTTTTGGGGGCAATTTCGTCGAATACATGAAGATAAAGAAATTCAAAACGAGGATAAGAAGCATTATCTCGTTCAAGCGACCGTACCCGGTACGAAATCACGGGATATCGTAAACAGCTTCCCTGCAACTGCCGAAAATTATGAAAAAGTTATAGAAAGCTTAAAAAATAGGTTTGGCAGGGAAGAATTGTTGGTAGAATTCTATATTCGGGAATTATTAAGTTTGATTATTAAAACTGTCACTGATCAAAAGGGAAAATGCAGTATATCAG